GGTGAGAGGAAAGAGGTAAGAAATAACCTATTTTCTCAGCACGTCTGTATCTATAATAGCAATGCTCTTAATTTCAGGAGATTATTCTTACTGGGTTTTTTTTGTCAGTTGACTTCCTCTTCCCAAGTCCATGACTTGAGGCCTGTATTTCTCAAAGTCTTACAAAGTTTTAAAAGGGACCGCTGTGCTTTCAGAGGCCTTGGGTGAGTTGGTTCCCCAGCACTGAGCCTATGCTCTGTGACGAGTTCCTCCCATTCTCAGCACAGTGCAGGGATGAACACAGATGTGTTCTCTTGCTCCCATCGCTCACACCCGAGTGCTTGTATTTCTGGAATTCAGATCTGTGTTGGCTTTGTGTTACTGAGGTACTCAAGAAGCAGTCATCTCCTGCTGTGGTTTGTTTTTATTATTATTTGTTTGTTTTCATTATTTGTTTGTTTTTATTATTTGTTTGTTATTATTATTATTATTATTCTTCAATTCTATTTATTTGTTTCTAGGCTGGTTACTGGCCGCTGAATTGCAATAATGCAATAATGTCAGTTTATCTTGTTACTATGTGTGCTTGACTTTATTCTCAATTTAGTTTGTATATATATGGTGGCTTATTAACATGTTCAGAAAATTTAAGTACCTCCATCAATTCCTTGATGTGATTAATGGTGAGGACCAAAGGGAGTAATCATCAGTGTTTCATTTTCCAAATGATTTTAAATTACTCTTTGTGTTGAGCTAGCAGGTGCTGTGTTCCACTTTGTCCCTGCTGTGCTCAGCATCAGGCAATGATGTGGGTTGTGGAAAGGCTGTGTAGCAACTCAGGAAGTATTTAAAAGAGGAGTTTTCATTCTCCTAGCTCCACTCTGCCATTGCCACAGGCTTCCAGAACATGGCAGAGCCTTTGGGTACAGTGATATGTGAAAACACTGCAGCCCATGCCTGGAGAATATGTGCTCTTATCTCCAACGCATCAGTGATCCAGCATTGTGCATGTGGCTGTAGCTAAGAGGTGTTTGTGTGGATTAATCACTAGCAGAAATGAATGACTAAAGGGTCTAAATCTCAGAGTAAGAATGTCTATTAGTGCTGTCGTAGCCAGCTTTGTTTTGAAAAGGCTTCAAGTTTCTGGGGGTCCAACGTGATTGGGATAAGTGACAATGACGCAGGAAAACTATGATCATGGCAGCCTTCTCTCCTTAAGAAACCAGGCTACAGAATGAAAGGTGTGGCTAGTGGACAGGCCTTCACAACCGCTTTAATCAGCGAAATTTGATGGAAAGTTCAAAATTACAGAAGAACACCCTCTGTAAAGACGTGTGTTCACCTACAAAAGCTAGTGGGGACTGCATGTGCAGCGTAACTGGCTTGTCTCTTGTTACAACTAAAGACGCAGCTGGCTAAGTTCTGGTTGTCCACTGCATGAATCACTGTGAACAACACAGCCTTGAGCTCTCACTGGAGATGGCAGGGGCTGCCTATGTTTCTCTCCAGTGGTGCCCTCCATGGTTACCAGTCCCGAATGGCAGTGTTTCCTGCTCTTTCAGCCCCGCTCTCCCTCCCACCCTGCCCAGGTATCCCAGGTGGAAGCTGCAGAAGCTCTTCAGTCTCTCTGTGCCACCCGCTTTACTGAAATATCCCTGACCTCCGTTCTGCAGGCTGGCTTTTCTCATGTGTGTAGGTAGGCGAAATCTCTAGCTCTGTTGAGATTCAGTGAA